AGTGAAACGTTACTGCTACTCGCTAGCCAAATAAAGTTTGCGTCGGTCACGAAGGCGAGGAAATCAAAAGCAGAGTTACAGCCAGAAGAGCACAAAACACCGTCCTCGCTGCGCAGAAGGCAGCGGCGGGGCAGCCCCGTTCCCAGCAGGAAGGAGGATGGGGCCGTCTCTGGCCTCCACACGCTGCCGAGGAGTCGGTACGGGGAAGGAGCATGAGCGAAAAACCTGTGGGAGACCTCGTCCCCCTCGCCCCGTGTCACCCAGCTGACTCCAGCAGCCACCTCCCACACCAAAAAACCCCAACTGGAAACAGGGTCAAGTTTAACCGTGCTGCCCTTCGACCTCGCCAGCTGAATACTCGCATCCAGGTTCACACCAGTAAAACCTGGAGCTCCACCACAAAGGTTGAAGCCACCCAGACTCCTTCGAAAGCATCAGGACTGCCAGTAAGACTCTCAGTTCCTAGAACAACCCAATTCTAAAATCACACATGTAGGGAGCTTTAGTTTTTCATATCTGGGGACGTGCTAGGAGAATTTCGTCTTCAAAAGCAGAATCTCACTGTTCAAGGGAATTTGAAAGCTGGTGTTTCATTCCCTTGTTTCAGCTACAAAGATGTTCTTCCCTGCAGGCCAGGTTCAGCCTTTTCAATATCCAAAAGATGGTTTTTTTCGCAGTAGTTCAAAAAAAGACGGTGAGGTTCTAGAAGCCCCATCTCCTCGCTGACATTAAACTCTCCGGATGACACACATCTTTTATACAAAACGTGTCTCGGCTGCCAGCGCCCGCGTCTCAGGAGGAGCTCTGCAAGCCCCCCTGGGTGCCAAACACCCCGAGGGGCTGCCAGCCGAGACCCCGGGGCCGCGCTCCCCCCTGCCAGGGCACAGCCGCTGCGAGCCAGCAGCAGAGACCCAGCACGGCGCGAAGGTCAGCCGGTGCGGCCGTGTTGCGACAGCCCTGCGCTGCTCCCAGTAGAGGCAACCCTCTCCGCTTCGAAGGACAGGAGCTCCCAGGCTCTGGGGCACATCCAAAACCACAAGACAAAACCCGACACGGGGAGAGATCAGCGGAACCCCTCCGGTCACGGGCAGCGCGTCACACAGTTCCTCTGCTGCCAGGCTGACGCCACTCATCCAGGGAAACAAATTAGTTTTATAGATACGCAGGTCTTTTCAAAACAAAAAAATCTGAAACCACGAAGCCAGTGGTACACAAACCAGCCAGGAAGCGCTCAGTGGTAACACAGCTGATAGCTGCAGTGTTAGAAAAACCCCAAGACTCCCGCTTCGTCTTTGCCCTTACGGCCAGTGTCAAGGGCCTCACCAAAAAATAAAGCTTTGAAGTTACACCTGTTGTAACTACCTAGTAGAGAGTGAAAATTTTAAGGTTAGTGTCCAGCATGCTCAAAATTTGCCTCACAGGGAACAGCCCACAGACCGACAGCTGAACTGCTGCGTAAGGCACGGACTGGGGGGAAGGAAACCCATTTCCCAGCCGATTCCACTCAAACCTCACAGCCTCCCCACACGGAGCCGTCGGTACAACCCCACACGCGTGGAGCTCCCCATCAGCTTGGCACGTTTACCAGGGTGACAGCAAACAGCGGTCGGGTTCAGCTGTCCTTTGGATCCACCACAACCCAGCCCAGCGCCAGCTCCCAACAACCCTGGGACGCACGCCCCAGAACGCTGCTGGTGTGTCTCGCCAAGGCTAAGGAAACAAGTCTTTTTTTTAAAAAAAAGAAATCAGATGTAACACATCCAAATAATTCTAAAAGCTTGTCCTCTTACAGTGAAATGCATCTCAAAACTTCTGTTCACCTTCAACACTCCCGTGGCGAAGGGTTTAAACCCACCACAGCCGCAGCCCAGGCTGAGCCGCAGCCTCTGGCGGACGGGAACCCAGCAGCTCCTGTCCTCCCCTCCCAGTCTGGATTTCCACACCGCCGCTCGCTGCTCTGCGGAGCACAACATGGTTTCGGGATTTGGGCAGGCTTGCAAACTCCGTAACGGTCCTGCACAGCCTCGGACAAGGCCAGACCTTCCCGGCACAGGTCCCGCTGCCCGGTGCTCACCGGTCGGAAGCGACCTCGGGAGGCGATGCAGAAGCGGGTCACTCAGCGCATCACTCGTTCAGGTCTCAAAAGACTTCCAGGCAAGCAGGAAACACCTCGAAAAGCTGGAGGTACCAACACTGCCCGACTGAACGCACCCGGACAAAACAAACTGTCCCAGCAAACCCCAGAGCCAACCACCAGCGCAGGCACCACCGACTGCTGTCCAGCCGCAGCCACGCGGCCCCTCAGCCGCGAATTCACAGAACACCTCACAGCCCACCCTTTCCTCCAGCATCTGCCCCACCTCTAACTCTTGCGTATTTAACTATTTCTCCACTAAAAGAAAAGTGATCATACGATATCAAGAATTAACAAAACTTGAGTTTCCCTGAACATCAGTCATTAGTGTATTTTTATGTGAGAAAAAGGCAGTGCCTGACTTTCTGATATTCTAAACTTACAGCAGACAGCTGATGGCTCGCGCGGGGCGCAGGCTGCGGCGCTGCTCGACGCAGGACAGACGCCCGTGACCCGGAGTCTGCCGGGAGGGGCTGCTCCTGGACGGACGCACCGTGCCCCGATACCAAAAACACGTTTCTGCTGCTCTGACTTTTGAGAAGAGATGCACTGTTCAACTAAAAAAAAAACAAACCAAAATTCTGATCTCTGACAAGTACCGCAAGTTTTCATTAAAAAACCCAAACTTTAGTATACATAGGTAACAGAAACAATAAAAATACCGCTATGCAGACTTATACAAAAAACCCCTGAGGGTCACTAAATCTCAGTCACTTTGTAACGAGAGAGCTGGAAGTCGAGGAGCTCGGTATTTTACAAACAGCGCGGTCAGCAAAAACCCAGGCTTTGTTTTTTTACACATTTTTTTGTTGTTTTCCATGCACTAAGGCACCAGGAAGTCACAGTTAGGCAAGTAAGATCTTCCATGCAACATTCCAACCCGAAAAACTTACCATGTGTTAGAGAGACGTGAACACAGGATCAAAGGGCAACAGCTCGAGGACAGGGCTCTGGAGCCGGGAGCGGCACGGAAAGCGAGCTGGAGGAGGAGGAGGGAGGGAGGAAGGGGGCGCTCACGTCGGAGCGGACGGGAGGCAGAAAGACTCGCGGTGGGTACTGACAATCCACACCGCGTGTACACAACCACCAACGCAAGAGAACCACGGCCAGCCTGGCGCTCCAAGTCACGTCCCTTTGAAGACTTGTTTCTCCATCACTTCAGAACTACTTTAAAAAGGCAACTTTCTTTCACCTCCTAAAAATATCTGAAATACGTCAAAGGCTCCCATAACCAAGCAGATCATTTTTAAAGACACAGAGGGAACAAAGACGGGGGTTTACAACAGGAAGGAACTGCCAACTCTCTTTAATAGTACATCACTCTGTCTAGCAGAGAAGTCAGCAAAGCTCAAACCTTGCCATACCAACCAAGAATTATACAGCATTTTACAACTTTAAAGCACTGTACAAACATCACCGCAAGGCTGCAGCTCTCCAGCTTTGCTAAACACACAAATTGGTCACACTTCACCACCAGCTGCACGTTCGGTTCCTCTTTTGGTATCTCACAGCTCTTCAAAGGATTCTTCAGTTTCGGCTTCGGATGATGCCTGCGAGGCCGGATGCTAACACGGCGTCTTCAGTCAGCGCCTTCCACTTTGCACAAAAACGCTTTTTGACAGCGCGACTCTGGGAGGAGTCCTCTCGCCATCGCCAGAAAATCAGACGGAAACCCCAGCGTACTTTATCTTCACCAACACAGTTGGCATTTTCAACGACATTCCAGTAATTTGGAGGTTACTGCCATAGCAAAAAGGTAAGGTTTTTTTGAGGCAGATACAAAGTTCTAAACTACTCAGTGTTAAGTTAAATCCACTCACTGCATCAGAAACTTGGTGCCTAACGTACATTTAAAAACGCCACGTGAGCTGTGCCCTGCTCTTCCTAAGGTTCTGCCTTGCAACGTACGGTCGTCAGCAGCAGTTCATCTCCCCTCCTGTTCCCTTCGCCCCCGGACCTGAACACGCGGCATGCCCTGGTCGAACGGGATGCCGTGGAGAAGGGGACGGCAGAAACCCTCAAAGCTCGTGGCCACGACAGCCACTCAGAATTATCCAGGATCTCTAGAAAATTGTTTGTGCGATCTCTCGACTTGGTGTTTAGGATTTGTCGACGAGGAAAAAACACAGCTATAAACGCAACAATTCAAACTAACACAGTGTGAAGTCAGCTTCTCACGTTAAAGCAGACAAGATATCATGACTAAGCTACACCTCTCCTGTCCCCTTCAGGCGACGATGCTCATTTCCTTTCAGTCTCTGAACCTCGGAATCCACCCAGACGACTTACAGGGCTCCATTTCGGCTCCTATCGAAGAGTCAGTGAAGGGTTACAGGCAACAGGCACTGAACTGTCACAGTCCGAAAGGGATTGGTCTTCATTCAAGACCATGGAAGCTCACATTTTGATCAACTCCGAGTCCTGGACTCCATTCCAGACGCGCCGATATCGCAGGAAAACACAACGTACCATTATTCAGAGCCGGCAGTTGAGACCGAGAACTAGATCTAGTTGCCGAGGTGCTGCCAGACTTATCCAGCCAGGCGCTGCCTGCAGGTGCCTACCCAACTCCATCCCATCAGCCGCTGCGGAAACACACTGTTGATCAAACACTCAGACCAGGACGAGAGCATCCTTTTATTCCAGCGGAGAAGTTGCACGTATCAGTCCGTTCCAGACCAAGAGACTGTTAGAATTTAGGAGCAACAAAAGCAACACACCTTTCACTTGAATTCTCCGTGGCCACTGATGCACGAGATACCGACTGTGGCTCTCACAGAGCAGGCCGAAAGAACGCAAGTGACAGATCAAGTTGACAACACATTTGCTAAGATCAACGTAACCCTAAAGGACACCCATGATTTTTTTAGTGCAGTGCCAGTTTCAGAATATTTGTGAAAAATTGTGAGGCCCCACACTTATGGCTGGACTGGGCACACCCAAAGAAGAGTTAACCACTTGTAATCTGCCAACGGGTACATGAACCGGAAAGGCAGTACCGCGGGAGGGTTCGGCAGCGACCCACCTCTCCTGCCCAGGCTCCCGTAGCTAGGCCTGGTTGATTAGGTAACAGATTCAACAAAACCTGTGAAAGTGACAGTGTATGTTTTTAGAAAGGAGGAACTAAGGTTATACTACATCATTTACTGAATTGTTCCACCACTGCTCCGTAAGTGTTACGGCATAAATAAAAAAAATGGAGAGAAAAAAAAAATAAATACATTGGCTCCTATGAAGTCAGAAGTGGTTTGGGCTGCATAGTGGAGGGGTGAGAGATGGGGGCACGGGGCAAAATTTACACACTTTGAGACAAAACAGGAAGCGCCTGCAAAGTAGTAGAGGAGAAAGTCAAGAGCTTAAGTGTCCTCATTCATATCCTGGCTGTCTGTCCGAGCGATTTTCCGTGGAGGCGCCGAATTCTCACCTTCTATTTCCACTTGCTCTTGATCTCTCTTCTTTGCTGCATTCTGTTTGGAGAGAGAAAGCCACGGTGAAACTCTCCAAAGCCTCAGACTCTGGTGAGAGCTAGCGTCGGTAGAACAAGTTATTATTTGTGAATTCTTTTGATGCAAGGACCTAACTGACACACTGCAACACACACTGGAGAGGATTTTGCCCAAAGACAAGAGGTGCTCCTTCTAGATTGTTCTTCAAATCTGAGGGTGGGACTGAAACACCATTCTCAGCAGCTTTTATTTATAGATGTCAAATACTGCAAAAAAACATGAGCAAGCTCCTCTTTCCCACTGCTCTGAGTCAGTCCCTGAACTTATCAAAATCTCCCAAAGCCTTCTATCACACACAAATACGTTCTTTGCAGCTTCAAGGTTCCTTATCATTCTGTCTCTCTCCACGTTCTTCCAGAACCCCTGCTCTGCCCACAGCTACACTCACTGCTTCCACGTTGCCACTCCTCAGTCACCGCCTTGGTCCGAGCGCTCCCAGCCCGGGCAGCCCAACCGCAGCGCAGCGACGCGTGCGTTCCTCATACGAGAGCTCAGGTTTTGTACCCAAGGCACTTAGGAGAGCTTCACCCTGGCTGTAAAGCAGACGCTGAGGCACGGGGAGACCAATTTGCCAAGGTCACAGAGGAAAACCGCAGTAAGCGGGAGATGTAACCGCAGTCTGCCAAGTTCCAGACTAAACACGAGCGAACGTCCTTACACTGGAAGAACAAATTGCCTTTTCCAAAGAAGCGCTGCGCAGGGACAGAGCCTCCTTGCACTATCTTTTGGCGAGGAGCAGTTCACAAGGACTGGGTCACTTTCTTTTAACTGCTCTTCGGTATTTTGATTATGATCAATATTCTGCTCGATCAGCCCGAGTCCACAAATCAAGACAGTGCTAACAGTAAGAAAACACAACCATACCTTTTTGTCCCACTGCTGATGCAAATAACGCAAAAGTATATTTGTCTTTTCTGTTACTATGACTGCCAAAAAAAGAGAGAGAAACATACTGAGGTCATTTTAAAGATGACTTTTTAAACGGTGCAGTAATCACAATATTACTTCACACACTCAGCACGGTTCCTTTTTAACGACAGCTTGCAGGAACACCAATCGCTCAACAAGGATAGAGGAAAAGCACATAAAACACTGCCTAGCCACAGGCTGCTAATCACCGTGGTGACAGTTCACTAGTATCACCTGGTCCGAAGTTTAAAATAAGAGAAATTACACGTACACCAGATTTTCAATATTAGAACAGAATAAAGTTATAAAACCTCAAACTTCAGCGAGGCAGACTCACTTTGTTCAGATGGATATTCTCTCGTGGGAAGATACACTGATGGTCTTCTATTCTGTGGAAGCATTAGAACCGTTACAGAACAAAGACAGCAAAAGGTGATTTTTAGCCCAACCAAAAGGCCCTCAGTAACGCAGGCTGCAAATGCATTACGATATTCTGCCCTGTTACACGACTCTGTGGCTACAGCTTCTTAAAACACACGTATAAAGAAGGAGGTTCATTTTTCTTATGTTTTTCAGGGCATAATACTACTGTTAAAGACTGCACATACACAAAGAAAGCACCACAGATGTGGTTTGGCTGACGTGATGACGCATTCGTCACCAAAGTAAGCAGGAAGCTTTCCTTGCCAATCTCAACTCATGAGCTATCAGCTGTGATCAGACACAGTTTTTTAAGAAACAACATACTCATTTCGACTTCACATCACTCTAGCACCCTTTGAGCCGCGCAAGAAAACCTTCCCGGAGCACTGGGATGCGCAACACTTACCGATGCTTTACATACAGAGTCCGCATGGAATCTGCTGAAGTTGCTTTTGTTGTAGACCGGTAAGCCTTTCAAAAAATCGGCCTAAAAAGACACAAAATACACACAGAGAAGCAGGTGAGGAAAGAAAGCGTGATATTCCGGTTGCTGTTTGCTTTGTGCCGATTCTCAAAGGAGTCGCTCGGGCCATTAAGACAAACAACTGCAGGAACTGAAGGATGCTTCGGCAGGGGTTGGACGAGATGACCCACAGAGGTCCCTTCCAACCCTGAACATTCTGTGATGCTGCCAGGCCCCAGTGAGCGAGGCGGTTGTTGGATGCTGAAACCCGCCCAAAACTGGTTTTGTAAAGCAGGCCGACCCCCAGCTTCTGCATTTGGCTCATTACAGCCCCAAAGTCCAGTAGTTCAGTTAGAAAGCTGCTAATTACGTACCTTTTAGCACAGAGGTATGCATCCAGTGGGGTGAGCCCCGACAGAAGGAAGATCTGCACCACGCAAACACCACTGATCTAACAGACCAGAACCCACAGTAATTTACCAGCACAGATCACAACGTTGCACAAGAAACTCTGCCACAGCTCCGCTGACATCTGCAGGCCGTCAGTACTACACCGTATCAGACGAGCTGCTCTTTCGCCTCACCATTTACCATCGCTGCCACAGACCAAGGCTGGTTCCACAGCGCAACGAACGCCTCCGCAGCCTCAGACGCCCAATCCTCATCGCACACCTCTCAGCCAGACCCAGCCTTTTGGGCTTTTTTTATTTGAAGGGTCACATCCCTACACACATCAAGGCTACTGGCATAGCAACGAAAAAAAATATCTCAAGTTTTGATGGCAGTGGTTGGATTGCCACTCCCAACAAAAATCTTGGCCACAGAGGCCAGCAAAGCCAGTCGCTAAACAGCCGTGGGAGCCCTGCAGAGCCCTCGCAGTTTAATTAAGCCGTAGCAGCACGAAACAGGAATTTCCTTCTCCAGAGTGAAAGAGGAGGGCAGGAGGAGAACATTACGGGGTCAGGAGAAAAGAAAGCTTAAAAGAGCATTGGAGCCTCTCTACTCACAGTACAAAGGAAGATGCCCAGCAACTTCTTTAAAGTAAAGAGAAAATGGGTAATAAATGTAAGATGTACCTGTGCGACAAGCAGACGAGAGAGAGGCCCCGAGACCGTCCCTTCTAAGTCACCAGACAAGCTACCAGTACCGTATCGTGCTTGAAGATCCAAAGCCTGTTATACGGAACACTATAGGATTCTACTCCAGAACATACACCACGTTCTTCATAAGCAATTTTAAAAGGACAGTAAAGCAGCAGACGAGAAGTCATTTAATTTCAGTGTTGGAAGCAACAAATAAATGGGACACTACTGCTACAAAACTGCTAGGTTAGAAGACATTGTTTTCCTTTAAATAGCCATTATTTTTATTAACACTGCCATCTTTAATTCAAAACAAAGAGCTATAATTAGCCAAACCAAAAAATATTATTCATACTTCTGTTCTTAAAAAGAGCTCTACTGACGTTCTCGTTTCCACATTGAACCCTTTCCCATCTGCCTGGTTTTAGAAATAATCTTGTTAGAAGAGCGGACTTGGGTTCCAACAGCGAGCTGCAAGTTTCTCTTGCCTGTCCTAAGCCCCACAGGACCAACGCTATTTCCCTGCGCCTTCACCGCCTTCGATCGCGAGCCCTCCGGGACAGAGCCCATCGCTCGCTCACCGGCGTAACGCCCGTACCATGCTGAGCTCGGGAACTACAGCAGGATCTCCCGGCTCTGCTCGGTTTTGGACCGTGCTGTGCCCTCAGCTCACCGCTTCCCACGCCTGCGCCGATGGGTTGCTCTGTTCCTCTGCTCTCACCAACATCTGCAGCCAGCACTGATCAGCGAACACGGATGCTACCCGAGGGCTCCCAGGACAGGGAACCCTTTAACGACTTCCGAAGGCACAGCCAGAAACAGTTCTCTCCACACAGCCCAGATTTAAGAATCGGCAGTTATATTACTCTGCTTAGAATGACTGAGGATCTTTAAAAATATCCCATTACGTTTCAAAGCACCTCACCTTTCCACTGCATTAAATCTGCAGGCTTTTTACGCCAAAGTAACCTGCTCCGCTACACCAGCCCAATCCAGAGAGAAGACATATCCGTGATTTCTTTTACTCCAGGAAAAGCCTGACAACTACTTGGGTTTATTACCACTTATAAGAACGGAAAATAACTGCTCTTACTTAGGAGCACACAACTTCAAGCACCTCTTCAATAGGCTACAGCTCACCCCAAGTTCCTCACTCCAGGCTGTTCCCTACTTTCCAGCCAGGGATTTGGTCTGGCAGAGCCCACGCTTCCCTGGAGAGGCTGGACGAGCAGGATCGCAGCTCTCACCGGGCATTCCGCAGTCTTTTAATGGAATTTGACAGCAGAGTGAGTTATGTCTAGTAAGTTGCAAAAACACTGTAAAAAATATCAGTCAAAATGCAATTTAAATGGTCAACGGGGTTTGTTTTTTTCCTCTCTCTACCATATAAACAACTGCAGCAGGATATAAACGAGCTAAGCGCAGACTCGCAAGCAGGAAGGTTACTACGCTCAGCCAACACCTGGAGACCTCAGCTCCAACGGCCACCAGCGCCCCTGGCTCTCAGCCACCACCTTCTCTTTCCTCAGCCCAGCAGCAGCTCCCACCCCCCAGCAGTGCCCACCGAGCTAGAGCAGAGCGACGGGGACACCAAAACAATCGAGCACGCGAGACGGACATTTCCCCACCCAGTCAGCACGTTCAGCACTCGTCACCAGCTCAGCTGAAAAGCCTGGTTTTCAGCGACACAGCCCACCCCGCCGATAACGATAATCCTGCTGCACACACGCACGTCGCAGCGGCTATCTGCTGAAACGACCACAGAGATCCCCGAAAAGGCTCCCTGGGGGGAACTGCCTGGAGTCCTGTTCCTGGATATTCAGAATGAGACAATGCTCCCAGTGCAACGAACCTTATCTGCTCCAAGGGCACTGGATAAATCAGCCCGGCAGGTCAGCGCGGTGTTTACACACCTATGGCACACGGCAGCCGGAGGCATACCTCCCGTATAATGTCACGGGAGGAAACGTTCCCCCTGCATGCCTTCTGCCACTCTTTAACCAAGGAAAGCGCAGCCCGGCCAAGCCAGCGAAGCTGAGGCAGCCTCCTGCGTGGAAGTGAAAAGCCAGCACCTGAACTGAGCAGACGCCTCATTTCCTTTGGGGAAAGGCAGCACCCCCCACCCTCCCCCAAAAAAACCCCACAACAAAACAAGTGCAATTAAGCAACTTCAGAAGACAACGCTGGTTCCTTCTACGAATCGGGAAGTGAGGCAGAGATAAGAGGCACCTACTTTTCCTGTGTCAACAAGGGTGCTCATCTTCCTAGGAATACAACAGTCCTCATCTAAACGCAGAACACTGAAAAACCCATAAATATGTGCCCCATTCCCAGCTTTTGAAAGGAACTGCAGTAACAACGCTCAGACAGACGAGGCCCAGCAGACAGACGCCGAAAGCAGGGCTCTGTCCCAGCACGACGCACCCACACGTGGACGTGGGTTAGAGGAAAGCCACTCACACCAGCGTGGGAACAGCCACCTAAGCTCTCAGCTGCCCTATGCCTCTACACGGAGGCCACAGGGACGCCACTGCTTGTCCCTTCGTCACCAAGCTTGTGGACGAGCAGAAGGAAAACCCTTTTTCTCCAAAAATTATTCCGCCGCTACAAAGGGAGGGACGGGGACTGGAAGCCTCCTGGCTCTGACAGCCGCCGCCGCCCCCT